ATATATATATATATATATATATATATATATATATACACACACACACACACATGTATAGCAATGGTGATAAGGGAGCTGTAAAAAAATAATCAACAACCACTTCACTAGTCTCTGGGAAGATGGGAGTGATGACAGGAAGAAGACAAAAATGAAATGCAGTGTTAGTATTGGGACACAAACGCATCAGGCGTGTGCATTCCACAACCTTGTCTGCAAGAACTCATCCAAGGGACGTTGATGGTGAAAGGCAAGATGATGAACTTGAGGAGAAGTAACATGAAAAAAGTAAAGGCATCTTTTCTGACAGAAGGATAAACAACCTGGATGAGTTGTTAAACCTAATTGGTCAAAGTGGAAGGAGATAAGTCATGAGAAGACAATTAATTCAAAGCAAGAAAAGACAGTGTTGATTGCTATGTTTTGGAGTAGTATGAGTGAGATGACACCAAACTGCCTGAACAGGACAAAGAAGACAATCAAAACCAGAACAACTGCACAGAGATGAAATAGAAGAGGTAATGAATGGTGAAAATGTTTGATCACCTTCCTGACCGGCCCAAGTATTAAAAAGGGTAAACAAGGAAAAGTATTAACCTGTTCCTGTGGTGCAGGAAGTATCCAAGGCAATAATGTCAGAGTGAGAGCCCCCACAAGTGAGGAGGAGAAGAAAATATGTCTGAAAAGAAAGATTGTATAGGAAACAAGTGGCCAATGGTTCGTATGGAGGAGACTGACGTGTGAGAACTCTAAAAACTTAACAGATGTTTCAGTCCAGAAGAAAAACTGGATGAGGAGGATGAATGATGGAAAAGAAGCAGAAAAACAAAAGGAGAATGGTTAAGAAAGAGATGGAAGGTCAAGTACAAAACTGTTCTCAATTAATGAAAGTGAAAATGGGAAGAAGTTAGAGACTAGGATAGGTACAGAAAAAAGGATTGAATAAATCTAGATTGAGATCATCCACTGCCGGAGCTGAAGATTCTGGAACTGGTGACAAAAAGGTGAAAGCCAGGTGCTGAGGGGAGTTGGAAAGGTAGTGATGACAGAAATCCAGAGTGAGAACAAATTCACTGAAAATGCTAGAGGATGGACAGATCACTCTGTAGGAAGAATCTGTTCTAGGTGAGACAGTCAATCTGCTACTATGGTCTAAAATACCAAGAAGGGATAAACTGTCAATCATAGATGGTGCTCATGGACCCAAAAGACAAAAATCTAGAGTGAGGAAAACAAAGGTCATAAAAGCAAGTGTTCCTTATTGGTGATTGAAAGAAACAAAAGAGGAGGTGTATGAACAGATCATGAAAAGAAGACAAGACAGACTAGTCAGAAGATGAGGACAAGCTCACTGATCAAGTGAGTACCATAACAGTGGTAGAGGAAAAGGAGGAAGAAGAAACAAGATAAAACAATAGATCTCTGGATAAATTTTTATTGATCAGTCATAATCCACTGAAAGAGATGGGTGAATCCAAGAGGAACATGGATGCAAGATAAGAGGAATCCCAAAAAAATAAAAAGAGAGAGATGAATTCTTTCATGCAGGAAAATAAAAGATACGAGTCTTGGTATCAGAAGCTCTATGCCTTGAAGAATGCTGATACTTCCCTAAATACTAACTGAGAAACACTCCCAAGTGAACAAGATACTGGAATGGGGGTCAAGACTGAATTGGAAACCTGAACCAGCCACCCCCAAACAATATATCAACCGAAGAAGAATGAAAGTAACAACAGTGGATGCCACATTTTATGGGAAAAGTAGATGCCAACTTTCCATAGACCAAAGGTGTGTAACCTCTGAGCAGAAGCCCACCAGAAAACCCATGGGGTCAACCTGAAGGGAAGGGCTGTGAATCAGATGATTGACCATTGTGCATTTATCAAAGGAATTGAGACAGGTGCACAAATTGGAATGTGGAGAAAGCACCTGAGACAATGATCCTGATCATTCACATCCCAGGAGAGTACCCACCTCATAATGAGAAAACTGTCCATCTTGAACTTTGGAATGACCACAGTTGGTTTAAATGAGGCAGATCTCAAATCCTAACTTCTTGGAACTTAAAAAAGGCAAGAGGAAAATCCAAGAGTGGGGCAGAGGAATTGTTTCATGTTGTTCTAATAAGGTGATGTGGAAGGACAAAGTACCTAATGTAAATAAGATTATTTTAATGCTATTATATCTAACACTATTATACGTTTGAGGAATTTATCTCCAGCCTTAGCACAGGCTCTCTTCCCTCCAATGATCTCCTCAAATTTTTATATTCATTTATCTATTTCTTCTACATTTTTTTTACAGTGATTTTTTTGGTCATTCAAGCAACTACTTTGGCCAATAAGGCCTGATGTAAACATGGCTTACCTAACAAACAGCAACTTCGCTGGTAAAACAAAACTTGATACGGTCAAGTGCAAAATTATCCAACTAAGTATAACCATTCTTAACCCAACCTTGCTCTACAAAACTCACTTCTTTTTCTATCATACTGCAATATCACAATTAAAATGAAGTATGAAATGATAAAGCAAGCTTTTTGCAAGCATAAAAAAAAATCAGGACAATGATTGTGGTTAAAGTTGTCACAAACATCTTTTGTCTTAGCAAAATATCACCAAGCTAAGCTTTTACAATTTTGTTGTGATCTCTACGAACAAATAAGAATGAAGCAGTCATTATACGTTTAGATAACTAGTTTACATGACAACCAAGGTGAAGAAACTGACTGGCTAAAAATTGATAAAATGTACCAACACTGAAAGTTAAAACTGTTGCAGTTTTTTTCAAAACTATCCCAAGTTTCCTCCTAGGAGGCTAAAAATGCCATATTATAGTCAGAAAAATTCACACAAACTAAATTTTTTGTTAGAAGTGCTCTGAAACCAATCAAAATTTGCAATTTTTAACATTTCTTATGTATAGCAGTAAATAAATAAAACTTTTTATTGAATAGATTTCAGCTCTAAATTACTTAAAAAGAAATGTCTGGAAGAGCAACTACAAGTATATTTTTTATAACATTTTAATTCAATTGTACAAATTTGCTGTTGGAAGATGAGTGCATCCAGTCTGGCATTGAATGTCTAATCATCATCACAGCTGTAATTTAAGTACCAGCAATAAAAGCAATTGTTGTTATGCAAAGTTAAAACTTACCTTCACATATAACAAATACGACTTTAATTGACTTGCTAGAGCTTAGATGCTTCAAACATGCCTGACTTTTTCCTACATTAAAGGGATGCACACAGAATGTTGTGATACAGAGTCATGTATCAGCTAACTTGGCTGATTTATATCTAAGAGTTCTGAATTTTACAGTTAAGAAGCCCAAACGTAACATACGTTTGGATTTGTATAAGAAACTGACATTTGTTTATCTTCATATTATTCAAAAAATTCACTACAGCTATATATTGCTACATCTATCAGATTTAAATTCCATGCACTCTATAGTTTATCACTGCATACTAATTATATACACAAAAGCAAAAACAATGGGAGTTGGAGGATTTCATGCGAGATGTGGTTGAATTTCACTTTTTAAGTCTGATTGACTCTGGTAAAAGCAGCCTAATGTCCATCCTGGTTTAAAAGTTTTTATTTCCTTTAAATATAAATATTTCAAGCCCACTTAAATTTTTTTTAATAGTTTTAGCATGTTTGTTGCTCAAAACCTGCTGTACAATCCTATGTATACAATGAGAGGAAGAAAGAAGGAGAATTTTTCAATCTTATGTTACTGAGAGAAAACTATTTCTGGGATTATATAAAACACTGATTAATCTTAAGCAATTATATTATAAGAATAATAAGACTTATTTTACTGTTTACTATATGTTTCAGCATAAAACAATATGTTTTTCAAATAACACCCATTTAACCAAACTTACTATTTGTTCCAAAGGTGGTAAACATTGCCTGTTGATTCACCTTTTGATTAGTACCACCTATAATATTTTCTGCAAAAGGATTACCATTAAGACAAAGAAGATCATCACTAGCCCTGATGGTACTATCTGTTGTTACTCCTTTTATATTTGGAGGTTCTGTTGACAAGAAATCAAAAGTCTCTTGACTTTTGGAGCTTGTGGTTTGTTCACTATATTGGATAGTCATTTCGTTTGTTTTTGTAGAACTACCACCATCACTTCCATGCTTCTCCAATTCTTGCATTCTTCTCTCCTATTTTTATATAGACTATTAATAAATCAGGAGAATAATAATCCTTAAAATCAGCATACAATTTTATTTCTATGACAGAAACTTCAAACATGTGTAACTTTTATTTTAATGACAATGTATGCATTAATCTCAAAATCTGTGCATAAAATTTACATAACACGAAAAAAGGTTGAAAGGCAATAATATAAGCCGTTAGTAAAAAAAAAAAAGACTAATGTGAAATTATCTAAGATTTCCTTTCCTACAGAAAATAAACATAATCAAACATTATCACTCTCAGAAACATTCAATAAAAAAGTAATAAAAGATATAAAAAATTATTACACTCAAAAGTCAAATCATATGATTCCAAAACTTCTTAACAAGTAAACAAACAAAATGTAATCATATGTACAGAATTATATGGGTATTAAGGGAATTTGCATGTTTATTTAAATAAAACATTGTGATTAGCCTTCTAAAAACTTAATCGTTTTTCTATTATGAAGCAGTATATTTCTTGGTGTTAATCTTTTATGGACTGCATCTGCTTGAGTTTTCTTGTAGACAAAGTTTCCATCTCTAATCTGAAGCTTTCAACTGAAGATTCATTATGAGTACAATTCTCACTCTTTTCATTGTTTTGAGCTTCAGAGTTCTGCTTGATTTTATCTCTAATCCTTAATTCTGCTACCACCTTGAAAGTTCCTAAGTTATAATTCCACTTACAACTCAACATGCTTAAAACAACAGTGTATATATATATATATATACATATTTGTAACCACACTCAGTCTAAAAACAACTGTTACAAAACTATTTATACCAAGGTTGTTGATCTGACAGTTGAAGGTCTTGCTTTAAAGTTTAATTACTGCTTTGAACATATTCAAAGCCAAAAGAAAACATACAATGTTAAACACAAACAGTATAGCTTGGTATCTTATGAACGATAAAATAAGTAAACATAAATTATGGTAAAAGGTTAAAATTCAAGGAACTTGTGTACAAATAATTAAAATTTTTTAAACAATTTTCAAACGATCAACATTTTTAACTTAAACAATTAAAATCTTTATTCTGAGATCGTTTAACGGTCTCAAAACAACTACTCTACATGTTTCAACATGTATCACATCATCCTCAGTCTAAAAACAACTGTTACAAAACTATTTATACCAAGGTTGTTAATCATGTGACTCATACTACTACATAAATATACAGTAAACCCTAAAGAAGGTCAAGCCATCTGTGTATTTTTTGACCTGCTAACCCTTCATCCTTATTGAAAGTTTGGCCATTGTTATTGTGTTTAATTATTTCAATAGATTCTCTGATATTTCTAGTAGTCATATCATACAGTTGAGCCAAGATAATAGTTTTTCCCCACCAAATGAAATGTCCAGTATGACTTACATGTTCAGTTAATGCAGAAATTTCACTTTGATTTTTAACATTTCTTTCATGTTTGTTTATTCTAAATTTCTTTTAGTTTGACCAATGTATACCCTTCTACATTCACATTCAATTTTATATATATACCTGTTTTTTCTATTAGAGTAATTACATCCTCAGTTTTACTGGCTAATTTTATTCAAAGGTTTATAAATCAAAGTTTTTACATTATTTTTTAAACTTCTGAAAGATTTGGCAAGATAAACCAGGGACATATGGCAAACATAGCATTTCAGTGTTATTGATTTTAATTTACTTTTTGATCATTATTCTTAATTCTACTGAATTTCTTCACAACTCTATCTACAATACTTGGTGAGAAACCTCTATCTAATGCTATGTACTTAATTAATAATAATTCATTTTTAAGGACCTATACACATAAGAATAAAAAGCCGACATTTTTTGTGAATTTGTATGACATGATTCTTTGTGTGGCAGCATGATAACAGAGAAAGGTTTATGGTAAGTAGTAGTTTGTAACTTATTTTCCTTTTTCTTTACCAGTACATCAAGAAATGGCAAACTTGTTTTCTTCAATCTTATAAGTAAACTTAATAGTGGGTTCTAAACGGTTTAGGTAATTAGCAAATTCTATCAAGTCTTCTTTACCATGCTGCCATACTACTAAAGTGTCATCAACATACCTAATCCATATTTTGGGTTTAAGTTTAGCATTCTGTAAAGCAAGATTTTCAAATTTATCCATGAACAGATCAACTAATAGCGGAAATAATAGGGAACTCATGGCTAGACCTTCAATCTGTTTGTAAATCGTATTGTTAAGTTGAAAAAGTGAATTTTCCACACAAGTTTTTGTTAATTTTATTATGTCCAAAGTTTCAATAACTGAGACGTTATTCATTCTTAATTTGTTTTCGAAACAGTAAATAGCTTTATCAATACATACTTTAGTAAATAATGATACAACATCGAATGAAACAAGCACATCATTATCGTTTAGAGTTATCTCTTATTTTTTTCAACAAATTCTACCAAAGTTTTAACTGTGTACTTTTTATTACTTAGAAAAGAAAACTTTTGTGCTATAAATTTAGCTACATTGTAAGAAGATGATCTTATATTTGAAACTATGGGTCTATAGTATTTAGACTTAGTATTTTGACATCACAAACATCTAATTTAAACCAGTGCTACATTCAACATACTATGTGACACACAAAAAATCAATGTTTAACTGTGTTTTTTTAATTATTTATTTTTAAATTAAAAAACTAGAGTAATGAATAATACTAAAATTTGTAATTATTAATCTACAATTTGATACCAAACTTAAT